ATTAGCGTCTGCGGACCTCGCGGCCATTCCAATTGGCCTGCGCTATCGCCGAGAGCGCTTCCGTGCGTGCCCGCTCGAAGATCGCGCTCCCTCCCGCGCGGCGGCTGTCTGCCTGCGCTGTTCCGAGAGCGCTTCCGCGCGTGCCCGCTCGAAGATCGCGCCCACTCCCGCGCGGCGGCTGTCTCCCAGACGTCCCAGAAGCGCCCATTGCGCGCCATTCGCGCGTGGTGGATCGCAGGCGCCGCGCCTGCTGCGGAGCGCGCTGCGCGCGCTTCTAGCCACGTCGCGACGCGGGCGCGACATGTAGCGACTGCGGCATTCCCGCCAGCTGCGAAGCGCGCTGCGCGCGCTCCTGGGAGCGCCCGGGAGCACCTGGGAGCGCCTGGGAGCGCTTGGGAGCGTGCCGGGAGCGTGCCGGGAGCGTGCCGGGAGCGCCTGGGAGCGCCCGGGAGCGTGCCGGGAGCGCCGGGCGCGCCTGGGAGCGCTTGGGAACGCTTGGGAGCATGCCCGAAGCGTGTGGGAGCGCCTGGGAGCTCCTGCCTGGGAGCGCTTCGGAGCGCCTGGGAGCTTCGAGACCGCCTGGGAGAGCTTGGGAGCGTGCCGGGAGCGCCTGCGAGCGCCTGGGAGCGTGCCGGCGCGCCGTTCCGGAGCCGCTTCCGCTCGCGCCGGCTCGCTCGGAGCGTCGGATACGGTTGGCGCGCCCATCGGGCGCTCGCGCAAGCTTGCGCCGGGCTCGCTTACATCGTTCGGCATGGTATCGTTTCATTGTCTTTCGCAATGGCACCATTCGAGCATGCTCAATACGTGGTGTTTTTCGTCTTGAGGGTTTAGGGTTTAGGGTTTAGGGTCTAACAGGGCAAGGCCAGGAATACCTACCTGCATAGGCACTCACCTGCGGTGGCTATCAATCCCCCCCGCATCTCCACCCCCACATAAAGATCATCTCTCCTCTCATGTTCGACCGTGGCTGTAGCATGGCATAGCATAGCAGAGCAAGCGCTTAGCGGGAGGCTAACCCTGACGGGGGCGGGACCCTAACGGGCGGGACCCTAACGGGCGGGTCGGGCGAGACCCTAACGGGCGGGACCCCAACGGGCGAGACCTTAACGGGCGGGTCGGGCGGGCGGGGCCCTAACGGGCGGGCGGGGCCCTAACGGGCGATGACGGGCGAGTGATTTACATAGCGGGTCGTAAAGATCCCCATATCAGGTTCCATCTAGGAGTGCGCCTGGGAGGACGCATGATCAGGAAATATTTTTTGTGCATGGGATTGTGGGTGGTTTACACAGCGGGTCGTAAAGATCCCCATAGCAGGCTCGATCCAGGGGTGCGCCTGGGAGCACGCATGATCAGGAAATAGTGCTTTTTGCATAGGATTGTGGGTGGTTTCCACAGCGGGTCGTAAAGATCCCCATAGCAGGCTCGACCTCAGAAGTTCACAAGACATAGGGAGGCATGATGCAGACATAATCACACGCAAGAAGTCCAATGGAATGCCATGCCAAACACCCTGTCATAGAAATCGCAATAATGTGGACGTGCTATGCTATGCCACGCCTCTCGTATGCTATGCCAGCATAGCATAGATTAGCACAAAGGCGAGTTCCCCACCATCTGGGTAACCTCAGGTTCTAGCGTGGCTGTCGCATAACACCAGGGCAAGAAACAACACAATGCGGTTCTAGCGTGGCTGTCGCATAGCACCAATACGTGCCAAACAATGCATCAAGATGGAGACCCATATCGATAGTCACTGTGAATCGTATACTCTTCCAAGCCCCCCACCCAGAAACAAGTAACACCGATACGCAATATCACATGAAGATAAGCAGAATGAAATAGAAATGCCCCACCAAGCGTGCGACAACACATTGCAAAAAAAAAGACTTAGAAACACATATCAATATTCAATATATGCCGTGGCTGTAGAATAGCACAGCCTAGAATCCGTCGGCGAAAGTTCCATGACATCTTGCGCCATGTTATAGATTGGCTAAGGCATAGCGTCGCACATAACATCGCAGCATAACGAAGAGTTCCCTCAAGTAGAACCACATGTTTGGGCAAATGCATTATTGAAAAACTCTGGCCCCCCCTGGCAATGAAGGAGGAGCCCCTGGAAGCCTCCGGGAAACCTTCAGCACCCCCTGGAAGCCCCTGGGAACCACTGGGAGACGATGGGAAACCCAACGCTTGGGAGCCTCTGGAAGCACCTAGTAGGCCCTGTGAGCTTCTCAGGCCCCTTGGGGCACTGGGAGCCCCAGCGCACACCGCGGGGGCCCTTGGACGCCCCCGTAAGCACTTGAGAGCCCTTAAGAGCCCCTGGGAGCCCATGGGAACCACTGACAGCCAAAGGGAGCCCCTGGAAGCCCTTGGAAGCCCCTGCAGTCCCAGGCTGCCCCTGGAGCCCTTGGGAACCCCTGAGCCCTCCATGAGCCCTTCGGAACCCTTGGGCTGCGAGCCCGTGGGAACCCCTGGGTGCGCATGGGACCCCCGGCGGAGGCTTCGAATCCCCTGGGAGCTCCTGGGATACCCTGTGAACTTTTAAACACCCTTTGGAGATCTGGGAGGCCCAGCACAGACAGCGGGAGCCCCTGGAAGCCTCCAGGACCCCCAGAAGCAGCTGGGAGCCCCCTGGGAACCCATTCGAGCCCCAGAGAAGGCCCTGGGAGCCCATGGACCCCCTGAGAACGCACACGAACCCCGAGAGCCCTGGGAGCCCCTCTCCGGTCCTTGGAGCACCGGAGTATCTGAGAGCCCCTTGAAGCTTCTGGGAACTCTTCTGAACCACTCATAGTCCCTGACAGCCTCTGGACTCTTAGGGGACCCTGTGAAGCCTTTGGCTGCCCCTGAGAGCCCCTGGAAGCTCCTGGAGCCTCCAAGAACCCCTAGGGCCCTGGGCCTGGGGGCCCCTGGGAACCCCTGGATGCCAATTGGAGCCCCGGCGGGAGCGTCCGGTCACCACGAGCCCCCCCCTAATGTTGTCATTTCGAGCTCTGGAGCTCAGCACCGACAGCGGGAGCCCCTGGTCGCGCGGAGACTTGGTTGAAGCCGTTCGCCGTGCGCTCAAAAGTTGTTTGCGACGCCCCGATTTACAAGAATTTTGACCCATTGGTTTCTCAATGATTCAGGATGCACGCGGAGAACGATCCTGCACAATTGTCGTATGAGAAAGTCATATGTTTTCGTATGTTTTGCTGATATCGCTTCTGACAAACATTGAAAACACATTGTGTTTCAAAGGATTTCGCCATGATTGCGCGGCTGGCGCGCGCATGTGCACTCTGTCGTGTTTTTTGCAACGGATTATTGACATGGGCACATCTTACAAAATCAACATGTTGAGTGTATATTGTTTTTTTACAATGGACAGTGCACATCAGAAACAAAGAACGATCAGGATATAATATTTGTTGCATAGGATGGAGCAGGTTGAAAGGCAGAAGGTTAAGTCTCTATTTTTTTTTACAATATAAAATTCCGGTTTACATACGGGTTCGCGAACCCGGGCCGGGCATTGTGCATGGTAAAAATATGGTTTTCTGATCGCATGATCAGGATATAATATTTTTTTGCAATGGAAAGGCCGGGGTTGCGACCAGGGCTGGGCACTTTGCATTGTAAACAATAAAAATTCTCTGATCGCACGATCAGGAAATTATATTTTTTTGCATGGGATGGAGGGGGGGGGTGCATAGCGGCCGGTTTGGAAGGCTTTAGGGTTTAATAATTATAAGGATTAGAGATTTAGGGCTTAGGGTTTAGGGTTTAGGGTCTAACAGGGCAAGGCCAAGAATACCTACCCGCATAGGCACCCACCTGCGGCGGCTATCAATCTCACCCGCATCTCCACCCCCACATAAAGATCATCTCTCCTCTCTATTATACCCTAGCGGGCGGGTGGGGCGGGCGGGGCCCTGACGGGCGGGTCGGGCGGGCGGGGCCCTAACGGGCGGGTCGGGCGGGCGGGGTCCTAACGGGCGGGTCGGGCGGGCGGGGCCCTAAACCCTAAATCGTCACCATGCACCTATCTCGCTATGCAAAGCCCGAAGCAGATGCTGATGCTGATGATAGCTGGTGATAGAAATCAGAATATTAAATGTATATTTTGTTTTGTTCGAAGGAAAATCACATCGGAAAGGAAGAATGATCAGGATATATTATTCGAGGGGGGGGGGGGGGGGAGGGGTCGGGTCGGGTCGGGCGGGCCCTAACGGGCGGGTCGGGTCGGGCGGGCGGGACATTAAAGCATGGTGCGTATACACTTGACGCGCGTGAACCCTAACAAGCGGGCACGCGTGAACCCTGACGGGCGGGTCGGGTCGGGTCGGGCGGGCGGACCCTAACGGGCGGGTGGGGTCGAGTCGGGCGGGCCCTGACCCCAGAGGTCCGTAGGGTCAGCTCTGCTGATCCGGGTTTTTCGGAAGTGCAAAATCTGATCCAAACCGTAAAATCTGATCCAAACCATCAAACATCATGAATCTGATCCAAACCATCAAATCTGATCCAAACCATAAAATCTGACCCAACATACTAAACATAGCAGGCCCGCATGTAAACACAAGTAATTAATACCCCAACATAGAAAGACCCCCAAGTAGAAAGCACGACCCCTCACGAGCATCGTTGCCCTGCATGGAACTCCACCAAAGGCCTCACTAGCAGCGTTCGCAAGCATCGTGCGTTGAGGCTCCCCAGAAGCTCCCATGTCCTACTGGATTCCAGAGAACCTCGGAAGCTCGGAAGGGCAGATGAGGCTTAAGGCCACCAGATACTTTGTCGGTGCGCATGGGACGAGATTGATTGCGCGCCCATCTGCTCAGTTTCATCATGATGTCTTGTTGTGTTTTGCTCAATCCGTTTTCTCATGCATGCATACTCCCTCACGTTCCACCGAGCATTCGGACATATCTTCTCCTAAGCCCGTCGTTCTGGATGGGCTCGCCGCTGAGATTTCGGAGAAGTTGACGTCGTCGGCCCTGCTGGCATACAGAGAGGAGATGTGCGGCGCGAGGGATACAGCTGCCATCGAGAAGCACACTGATCTGATGCTGGCCATGCGAGGCGTGAACCAGCCGAAGGCGTTGAAGGCGTTCGCGGCTGTGGCGGCTAACAGAGACAGCGACTGGAAGCTCGGCCCCGAGGAGAAGAAGTGGTCTGAGAAGCAGACCAGACGCGCACGTGCCATGAGGCGCGACATAGATCAAGCACTCCTGAAGTTCAAAGCCGCGTGCGCCTCCGATTCCTCCAAGGTCCCGAAGGCGTGGCTCGTACCGTTCTGGGAGGCGGAGAAGAATGCGCCAACGCTTGCAGCTGATGGCGACGCCACGTATCAGTACCAGTGGAGTCCGGCGGAGATGGTGGCATACAGGGCCCTTTCGAACACAGATTCGCTCCCTCCGAAGGAGGCGAGCAAACCGCTCGAGATCCCCGAGGGCGCTGTACTCACGGACTGGGCGACGGCGACGTGGGATGACGGCCACACGTGGGAGATGACGGATCAGGTAACTTGGGAGATGGTGAAAGAGCAGGGTAAGGGTGCCAAGGGCGAGAGTGAATACACAAAACATCTGCGCGAACTCGTTGCCAGAGACGGGAGCACGTGGCGACTGGTACGGAACACCGAGAACCGCATCAGCGGCCAGCGTGCATCCCAGATGTCAGAGATGCTGCGCGCGCAGCGGATTGCGGACGGGCGGTCCGCGTGGAAGCTGCAGATGGTCATCGCCAACTTCAGCCAGGAGCAGGTGGGCGCAGCGACAGCTGGCATGAAACCCATCATCAAGAGGTTTGCGGACGAAGAGATTGACAAGTCGGAAGCAGAGGCTCAGAAATGCCAGCTGAGGAAAACGATAGTGAAATATAGTCAGGAGACCACGGCGCCGATGAGGCGCCCAGCAACCTGCGAGGAGAACGAGGGCCAGGAGCCCAATGTGCCCAAGAAGCGCCCCGCAGCCAAGGACGGCGACATCGTATCCGATGACAAGGATGATGAGGCACCCACTGGCGAGATGAAGCGCCCGTCAGCCGCCGTGGACAGCGATGGCAAGGGCGATGCAGAGCCAGACGACGGCGCCGCCTCTCACAAGCGCCCAGCAGCAGCCAGCGCCGACGATGGCGGCAGCGACTCGTCCAGCGTCGTCGAGAGGCCCGCGAGGAAGCGGCCTGCCAGCTACCCCCCGCCACAGCAGCAGCAGCAGCATCAGCAGCAGCAGCAGCAGCAGCAGCAGGTCAGCGCAGATGCAGGCGGGCCGAGCACCGACAGCGAGAGCGTGATGGGGTGGCCGCCGCCAGCGCAGCTTGCTGGACCAGGTTCCAGAAAGGGGAAATCGAGGGATGAGGTGAGGCAGAGGAGGAGGAGGAGGAGGAGGAGGAGGAGGAGGAGGAGGCAGCGGGAATTCCAACGGTCGAGGCCGACGCCTTGGCGGCCTTATGGGACAATGCCTTCGAGACAGCGGGAATTCCAACGGTCGAGACCGACGCCGTGGCGGTCGCATGGGACAACGCCTTCAATACAGCGGGAATTCCTGCGGTCGAGGCCGAGAGGGAGGAGGAGGAAGAGGAGGAGGAGGAGGAGGAGGAGGAAGAGGAGGAGGAGGAGGAGGAGGAGGAGGAGGAGGAGGAGGAGAGGAGGAGGAGGAGGAGAGGAGGAGGAGGAGGAGGAGGAGGAAGGGGAGGAGGAGGAGGAGGAGGAGGAGGAGGACAGATATCCAAATCCCAGGTGCCGCTGCTGGGCAACGCGCTGAACATGGGGTCATCGACTGAACGGCGACGGCGGCATGTACGCGTCGGAGGGCGCGCGGCAGCGCAGGTATTGTGTGCGTGTGTGGAGGGGGGCTCGGTTGCACAAAACAGAACCCCCTAAGATAATGAAGGTCGTCACCACCTCCCCATTATCCTCCTCCTCCTCCTCCTCCTCCTCATCCTCCTCTCCTCCTCCACATCCCCTTCCTCCGCCTCCTCCTCATCGTCACCCCCGTCCCCGACCTCTTCCGTCCAGAGATAGTGTTAAACAATCCCAGTGACTGAAATCGTTCGAATCGGTTCGAAATTGGTCGGCCGCGGCAGCACATCTGGCCCAAGGACGCCCTGGGCATGAGCAAAGTCACGTTCGACGAGCAAGTCACACGTGACTTCAGAACATCAACCCCCATCGGCCGCCGTCTGCTCCGGGGCGCAATGGCCGATGCACACGTGCATGAAGATCCGAGCCAGGCGTTTGTTACCCTGTCGCCCCCTCCTTTTTCTCCTCTTCGTCCTCCTCATCCTCCTCATCCCCATCCTCCTCCTCGTCCTCCTCCTACCCATCATCCTCCCCCTCATCTTCCTCATACTCCTCCTCATCCACCTCCTCCTCCTCCTCCGCGTTCGAGGCTGGTGGCGCCGAGGCCGAGCCAGTGCCAGCCGAAGGGACGGCGCCGCTTGTTGCTGTGGCCCCCGTGTCCACGCCGGTTGACGACGAGACCGTGCCGTACGCCGACGTGTCGGCTACGTCTCCCGCCGCGGCTGCTGCCCCGACATGGGTCGCCGCCAGCGAGGCAGCTGCCCCGAGTGCGACTGCGAGCGGGGTGCTGGTGCAGCCGCCGCAGCCCTGTAAGGGCGGCGTGAACCTCGAGGAGCTCAACAGGACGCTCGAGAGCATGATCGGCGACGAGTGCGACCTCGAGAAGCGGCTTGAGGAGAAGGCACGCGGCGTCGATGAACTACTCTCAGGGTCGATGCGAGCACAGCTCGTCTCGACGGCACGCCTCAACTCGACGCGACGCCGCTCAACGCCTGGCGTTGAGTGGCGTCGCGCGACGCCGCTCAACGCCTGGCGTTGAGTGGCGTCGCGTCGCGTTGAGTGGCATGACGTGGGGGCGTGCGGCGCGCGCGAACACTGTGATGAGTTCAGTCGACTCGCTGCCGGGCGGCGAAGATGATGGACCTGGAGAATCAGACGAGCCTGCACCAGCAGTTCGACGCACTCTTCAAGGACAAAACGACGTGGAGTTGCAGCCCGAGGATGCCGTCGACGCCCAGCACGGAGGCTGGCGACGCTGCGTTGGTTGACGACGACGATGAGTACCTCGACATGGAGAGTAGGGACGGCAAGTACTTCGCAAAGTGCAAGGCTGACAACTTCTCGTTCCCTGCCCGTGGAGCTGCAGGCAACCCGCAGGGCGGGCGCTGGCAGCGGCACCTCAAGCACGATGCAGAGGATCGTGCGGCATACGATGCGCTGAAGGGCAACGTGAGTGCGCAGGCCGCGTTCCGTCAGAGATGGTTGAAGAAGGAGTACGAGAACCACATCAAGGAGCGCAAGCACATCTTGCAGAAGACGACCACTGAATATTCGGACGGCCGCTACTACACGATAGATCGCTGCATCGTCGAGGAGGCGAACAAGCAGACTGCGATGAACTACTGCCTCCGCTGCCTCACGATGGGCTACCCGTGGGTCAAGTTCTGCGGCTGGAGGAAAACGACGCTCTTCTTGTGCAAGCTCGAGGGGATCCAGGAGCAGCAGATGGAGCAGTGGACCATCACGAAGACCACCTGGGAGTCGAAGACGAAGGAGCCTTTTAGGGGTAACATCTACACCTTGACCATCAGAGACTCCAAGAGGGTAGTTTAGTGTTCCACACGTTTTTGATTCCCTAGTTGTCGCCTCCCTGCCGTCCATCCATGGCTGTTTGCTCAAAGTCTTTCTCCGGGGCATGAAGGAAGCCCTGCGGCCCCTCGTCGAGGCCAGCGCCTCGGGGATCCGTGAGCTTGCCCGCGCGGGATTCCACGCGGGGGCGTCTTGGGCGCTGCTGCCCAGTTGCCCGGCGGCGCCGCCCTGCCCGCCATATCCGCCTTGCCCCGCGTGCTTCTGCACGCGCGGGGAGGGAGGCGGAGGCGGCGGCGCTCCTGCGGGCGGCGGCGGCGGAGGAGGCAGCCCTCCCTGGCTGGCGGCCGCGGGCGGCCCGGTGTGCGACGCTCTCGCCGACGCACTCGCCGGGTCGCTGCGGGAGGCGGTGGAGGGCTGTGTCGGCTGGGGAGCAACGATAGCACTGGTGCTACTTGCGCTACTTGCAGGGGTCGGTCTTGGACGCCTCAGCCTCGCCGCATCGGCCCGCCTTGAGCCTCGCGATGGCGCTGGTGCCCAGGGGATCGTCGTGGCGGCTTCTCCCGGGGCGCAGAGCAGTGGTGCGCTACGGCGGGGGCGACCTCTGGCACGAGCGGATCCTGCTGTACCCAGCGGCCAGTGAGGCCTCAGGCGCGGGGCTCCCAGGAGTGTGCTGGGTGGTGCACACTCCCGATCACGATATGTACATCGAGGAGCTTGAGGGAGGCTCGCCCGACGACAGTCCCGTGGAGTGGCTGGAGATGCCGCGCGACCTGCGGCTGCCGAGTGGGCTTGGACGGGCGCATCGCTTCGAGGAGGCCCCGACGGAGGAGGTTATGAAGGGCCTCTACCGCAGGGCCTACTCGGCCGCCCAGGCCGACGCCGAGGCGCGCGGGGTGCCCCTGGAGACGCCGGTGGCGGTGCGAACGGCCGCAGGCAGGGATGTGGCCGTGCAGGAGGCCCTCGGGGCCAACTTCTTCGGCGGTCGACGGATGACAGGCAAGAGGCCGCTCCTGGGTTTGGACCTCGGAGGAGACCGCGGAGGCCCGTCTGGGCCGTCGGCGGCGGCCGCGGAGGGCGTCGGCGACACCGGCGCCCCGGGGGCCGCGGTCGAGGGCACTAGCACGCCACGCTCGAGCGGCCGCGTTTGGCGAGCAGCCGAAGCTGACGAGCGCTGCCGCATCGCGCTGGGCGACGAGTTGGGGCCTCCTGCTCACTCGCTCTGTGGCAAGGGGTTGTTCCTGGCGGCTCCCGGGCGGGCCGTGGTGGTGCACCTGGCAGGGCTCGACCAGGACTCCTTCGTGATGAGCCTGCGGGTTGGCGAAGGGCACCCATCGAGAGCTGGCGCCGAGACCGGAGGAGGAGGAGACGCTCGAACCTTGGCGGTGAAGAATGGGCCGCGGGGCCGAGGCCGAGAGTGGCGTTGGGTCGTGGACGCCTGTGAGGAGGAGCCGTTCGGCGACTTCCCAGTGGCGGGGCCTCGTTCTGCTTGGTGGTGCTTGGACTTCTTGCGGCGTCGGCACACCCCCACGGATCACCACCTGATGTTCAAGACGACCGCGCGGCTCCAGTCGGAGCAGTGGGGGGTGCAGGAGCACGAGCAGCTCATGAAGTACATCGAGCTGGCTGGCACCTACGACCAGCTGGACCTCAGCAACTGCGCCTTCGCCGAGGCCATCTTTCGGCGGGCGCAAACTATCGAGTGGAGCTACCACGATCGGTTGCGGGAGGCCGACTCAGCCAGCTCCAAGGACAAGATGAGTCCCGAGGAGTTCTCGGCCTTCGGCGGCTTCAGCAAGGCGGGGGACCTGCTAATGGTGGCGCCCACGCTCCTCGAGTTCGTGAAGGGCCAGGTCGAGAAGGATGCCGCGATCATGAAGAACATCAGGAAGGCTAGAGAAGAACGAGAGCTCCGCCGCAAGGGTCCCAAGGGGGATGGCGGCGGAGGGAAGTCATGACGGCGTCGCGGGAAGGAGGCCTGAGCGCGGCCGCCTCCTTCTCGAGCTCCAAGGCCGCCCAGCCCCAGGGCTCTCCTGCATGCGTACCTGGGCGAATTCAATTTGACGGAGTTCCAGACCGTCGAGATCTTTTTCCTGTCCCGTTGCTTCGGGATGGCCTGGCTCCCGCGGAGGGCGTGGCGAACCGCTCGGTACGGCGGCGGCTGCTTCGGCGAGACGCTCATGTGGCTGAAGCCAACCGCGCCCTCGGGGCCCTCAATGATCTGGCTGGTCGGCTCGGGGCGCCTGGCGCTCCGGGCCTGGCGGAGCGGCTGCCCCATCGCCTGGTACATGAGCGTGTTCGTCATGCTGCTGCTGCGCTGGGTCCCCCGCCACCTGGCCTCACTCCCGCCGGAGCCCTGCGTGAGCTCCGCGGTGCTGGCGTGTACGAGGACATCGACTCGCCAGTCGTTAGCTTCGACGACTCCCTCGTCTCGCTCCCTGAGGCCGGCAACGTTCCTGTGCCGCTCGGGGAGCTGGTGGCAGGCGTGGGCGATATTGATGTCGAAGCAGCAATACACGAGCAGCTCCTTCCACGCAAGGATGCGGAGTCCAACCTCTCCGAGGCTCCGCGGCAGCCGTGCATGGATGCTATTCTACGAGCTCAGCCACGTGCTTATGCTGGGCTGGTGCGGCGTTTGCATACGGCGGGAATGGTGACCTTCTCAGCCGCGCCGCGAGAGAAGTGCGGCCTCTTCTTTGTGCGTAAGAAGTCTGGCAAGCAGCGCATGCTGATAGACTGCCGGCGGGCCAACTGCTGGTTCAGGAGGCCTTCGACAGTCGCGCTGGCGACAGGCTCAGCACTGGGAGAGCTGGCCGTGCCGGAGGGCGAGCAGCTATACGTCGGTCACGTGGACATCTGCGACGCCTTCTACCACTTCGGGCTGCCTGAGGCTTTCCGTGAGTACTTCGCGCTGCCGGCGGTGAAGGCAGGTGATGTGGGGCTGACTGTCCTGGGCGGAAGGTCTCTCGCGCCTGGCAGTCGTGTGTGGCCAGTCCTTGCGGTGTTACCCATGGGCTGGTCGCATGCGCTGTACTGGTGCCAGACCATTCACCGCGGGATCGTGAGCTCCATCCCCGCGCTGCACGACGTTCCGTTCATCTCGGACAAGAGTGTAGTGCCGCCAGTGCAGCCGCTGGCGATGACTATCTATGTGGATAATTTTCTTGCCTTGGGCACGGATCCCGAGGCCGTCTCGCGCGCAGTAAAGCTTGTCAACGCCGCCTTGACGTCCAGGGGTTTACCCACCCATGAAGTATGCATGTGTGATCACGATGCCGACATCCTGGGGTGGGAGATTCGAGGGCGAGAGAGAGAGAGAGATTCGACCAAAGAGGTCAAGGCTGTGGAGACTTCGCCTGGCGCTCGATTGTTTGACAAGCAAGGCCGTCGTGAGTCCCAAAGAAGTTGAGAGGGTGTTAGGCCATTGTACTTTTGTGGCACTTTTTTGTCGTGAGCATTTGTCGATCTTCAGGTCCGTCTATACTTTCATTCGGCGGTTGGGCCACTGTACCGCGGTCCCTCTGTGGGAGTCCGTCCGATGGGAGCTCAGTACGTTCTCGAGTTTGCTGTGTCTGATTTCCAGGAAGCTGCAGGTGTCATGGAGTTCCAAGGTGATGTGCACCGACGCGTCCTTTGGGGGCTTCGGACTGGTCTGCAAGGACCTCGACAAGGACCTCGTGGGCTCGATGGGCTGTTTCTCAGAACGATGGCGTTTCTTGGGCGACAACAAGGTGCTCTCCCGGGCCTGGGCTGCAGGCTCCAGTGAGGACGAGATCATCCCGAAGCCCCTAGAGAGCTCCAAGGACTTCCAGAAGTTCGTGGGGGATGAGGAGGCTAGCAAGGAGGCCCGCACGCGGGCCGCTGGACGCCTTCCCGAAGCGGTTCGAGAGGAAGGTGGGGCTGTCGTAGGGTCGCACAAGTGGGGATCCCCGCCTGACAACATCGTGGAGGGGGAGGCCAGGGCCATCGCGTTCGGGGTTAAGCACATCTGCAGATCCACGAAGGCCTTTGAGAGCCACCACCTCCTGCTATCCGACTCGCTCTCGTCTGTCTTGGCTCTGGGCAAGGGCCGATCCTCGGCCCCCGGCGTCAGCGGCGCCCTGCGCTCTGTGGCAGCTCATGTTGCGGCGACGGGACTCCGACTCAGTGCCCGCTGGCTGCCTAGCGAGTGGAACTTCGCCGACGGTCCTTCGCGAGGGCTGCGGCACGCTGGATACGCTCGTGGTGGAGTCGGCCAGGCTGGAGCGTCGCCAGGCGACGGCCCCGGCGGGAGAGGCCCGCTCGGTCCCGAGGACCCGCCCGGCGCCGCCAAGCCGGGCGACGTCAGCGCCGTCGCTTCGGAGGCTTCTCTGCGACGACCTGGCTGGCTCGCCACCGCTCTCCGAGGCGCGGGCTCCGCCTGCGGCCGACAAGGTGAAGCGGGGAAAGCTAGCCCGGCGCGGGGCCAAGCTGGCCGACGCGGGGACGCTGGACGTGCTGCGGCTGAGCACGGTGCGGACGCAGACAGTGAGGTCGAGGTGCCAGCAGCTGGCCGCCGAGTTCGACGCGTGGCGGGCGGGGCAGGGGTTGCCTGCGCGGCCAACGTTCTCCCTCGACGAGCGGAGGATGATCCCGCTGGCGCCCGAGGCCGCTGCCACGCTGGACTGCAGCCTTGCGGAGTGGATGCTGGGGCAGTACCTGGAGGGCGTCGACCACTGGCGCGGGGTGCAGATGCTGGCCGCCCTTCAGTGGAGCGACCCGCGTCTCGGCCGCGACGGCGGAGCTCGCTTGCCCGGGGCCAGGCAGTCGCTCCGAGGCTGGAAGGTGCTGACGCCGCCGTTGACCAGGCTGCCGCTCCCCGAGGAGGTCGTTGCCGCCCTGGCTTGCGAGCTGGTGAGCATGGGCCTGTGGGAGGCGGCGGCGTGCGTGGTCCTGTCGATGGTGTTCTACACGCGACCGGGAGAATGGGGCCGCGTGCAAGTCAAGCACGCGATCGCGCCCCGCGCTTCGGGAAGCCAGGCCCTGCGGCAGCGGGCCCCGGTGCTGCATCCACACGACGGCGAGGAGGCGCGGCCCAGCAAGACGGCGGAGTTCGACGAGAGTCTCGTGCTGGACCTCACCTGCGACCTGTGGCTGGGCGGCGTGCTGCGGAGACTGACCGCTGCGAAGCCGCCAGACGCCGCGCTGTTCAGCTTCTCAGTAGAGGAATTCGCCGAGATTTTCAGACGCGCGGCCCGCCGTCTCGGCCTGGAGCCCGTGCCGACGCCTTACCTTCTCAGGCACGCCGGCGCCAGCCGAGACTTCGTCAACGGACTCAGGCCGTTGAGCGAAGTGAAACGGCGGTGTCGCTGGAAGACGGACGCCTCCGTGCGGAGGTACGAGAAGGGAGGAAGGCTGAGCGAGCAGTTTGCGAAGCTCCCCCCAGCCCTGCAGAAGCACGCGCTCCGCTGCCACAGCGTGCTCCCCGAGGTTCTCTTAGGGAGGCTCGCTGCCCCGCCGTTCCTGGCCCGCTAGCTGTGAGAGTTGTTCTAGAAATCCTCTCAGGCTCTGGACGCCTCGCGCGAGCGATGGCGCGGAAGGGGTATCATGTGCTAGCGTGGGATATCAAGCACGGCCCTTTGTTTGATTTGCGGGACGTTTCGAGACAACGTCTGATTCGGGGCTGGATTCAAGCCGGCCTCATCTTAGGTGTGCATCTTGGGACGCCGTGTGGCAGCTGGTCGCGCGCCAGAGATATCCAGCCTGGTCCTCCCCGCCTCCGCTCCGACAAATGTGTGTTAGGCCTGCCCGATTTGATACCGTCGGCGCAGGCCGCAGTAGACTTTGGAAATCAGATGATGCGCTTCAGTGTTTCTGTTCTAACGGTGGCCCGCCGCATGCAGGTGCCGTGTTCAATGGAGAACCCGTCTACCTCTCGACTGTGGCTCGCGCCGCCGGTCGCTTCGCTTGTCAAATCCACACGTTGGTCTTTCGTCAGCACAGACTTCTGCCAATGGGGAACTCCTTGGCGGAAGCGCACCAGCTTTTTAGGCACGTACATTGATTTGACCCTCTTGGTGAAGCTGTGTAAGCGCACTCAAGGCTGCTGCAGTCGAACTGGACAGCCCCACCAAGTGTTGGAGGGGCGTGCGCCCGACCGTCGGTTCTGGACAGCCGTCGCCGAAGCCTATCCTTCTCGTCTGTGTCAGCAGTTAGCCCGCGCTTTTGATGATGCCATCGTGTGCCGTAAAGTCTCAGGCATAGCTTCAAAATTGTCAATGTAGTTTCCAGTAAGTTAATGATGACGGCCTTGGGGCCATTCGACTTCGTGTTTTTGGCACTGTCCTTTTTGGCGTGTGCTGACCTCGAGGTGCAGGCTTCTGTCGTACGCGTCGCTGGTGGCGAGCTCTCTTCCAGAAAAATCGGCGTGCCTTGATTCTCGAGGCGCTCCGCGCATGGCAGGTCCAGACGGCTGGGGATACAGTTTAGTGTTCCACACGTTTTTGAATCCCTAGTTGTCGCCTCCCTGCCGTCCATCCATGGCTGTTTGCTCAAAGTCTCCCTCCCTCCCTCCCTTTTTCTTAATATTCTTCTGTCCGCATTTCCTGACCAGCCGTTGGCGTGTGCTGACCTCGAGGTGCAGGCTTCTGTCGTACGCGTCGCTGGTGGCGATCTCTCTTCCAGAAAAATCGGCGCGCCTTGATTCTCGAGGCGCTCCGCGCATGGCAGGTCCAGACGGCTGGGGATGCAGTTTCTATGCTTTTGGATCGTGAATGTTGTATCGATACCATATTTGGATTCGGGGGCCTTGTCGGGCCCGTCGGCTTCGTCCAGCGCCATGCACATGCGGCCTCTGATGGCCACGTGATTTATTGAACAGCTGTTTGAAATACTGTGACACCCTCTTGGAGCGCTCAACCTGCGTTGTGAATCACTCGAAGAACGGCGTGCCACCGCCGCTGGCGTTGGCGGGTGCAGCAGCATCAGCTAGCGCCGCAACCAGCGCTGCCGCCGCGGCGCCTGCAGCAGCGGTCAAGCCCACGGCCAAGAGCACAGCGAAGGCGAAGGCGACACTGAAGAGGGCAGCAGGGGCGGCGACAGTCGCGGCAGCAGCACCGCCTGCCAAGCGGCGCACGATCGACGCGGCCGAGGAGAAGCCGAGCGAGCCGCCCAGCAAGAAGGTCAAGATTGAGGATGCCGCTGCAGAGGATTCATCTGAGGATGAGGGTGGTGCTGATGGTGGCGATGACGGAGCTGGCACCGAGGCGGAGGACGGGCAGCAGGACGATGACTCCGATGCGGAGCCGCTTGCAGTTCGGAAGAGGCCCGCTGCCAGGGCAACGGCTTCTTTACCAGCACTGGCGGCCGCGAAGATGAACGAAGTGGACTACGGCTTGGCAGCGGCGGCGGCGGCGTCCGTGAAGCAGCAGGTCGAGAGTGCAGACCATTCATCAGCGTGGTACTTCTTCAACAACGCGCACTTCCTGGGACCGCTGCAGACTGCCATCGACAACCTTTCGATCGGCATTCGCGCGAAGCCTATCTACCAGACCTTCATCAGCGAGGACCTGGCGGCGCTGAGGACCGCCGCAGTCAAGGAGGCGGCGGACAAGATCAAGATTGACAAGACGGATCCCGATGGCAAGGCCAACGCGAAGCTGGGGAAGGACGCTGCAGCCGCCGCCGCGATGAAATCGTTCGACGATGATGTCGTTGCCTTCAACAGCATGATCGGGCCACTGATCCAATCGCTGCAGGCGGAGACCAGGATGCTGAGCGCGCAGAAGGCCACCCGCGAGGAGGAGATGCGCAAGGCGCAGACGGGCTCGTCGCCCAGGGCACGCAGGGCCTCGTGATCTGCCCTGGCGGTATGACTGCCACATCGCCAGCTCCACGAGGGTGCTCGCACGACGTCGCGGTGGGCAGGTGATCAGGGACTTGAACCTTCTTCGGCTTCCTCCTCCCATTCCTCCTCCTCCACCTCTGCTTCCTCTTCTTCCTCCTCCTCCTCCTCAGCCTCCTCCTCCTCCTCCTCCTCCCCCTCCGCCTCCTCAGCCTCTTTCTCATCCTCCTCCTTCCTCCTCTTCCTCCTCCTCCTCCTCCTCCTGATCCCCCTCCCCTTCCTCATCATTCTCCCCTCATCCAACTCCTCTGTGGCATCCTCCTTCAACTTGGAAGCCTCGCCCCTGGATGACAGAAGTGGGAAAAGACGAGGAGGATGCCGAGTGGAGTGAGATAGAGCATCGTCGTCCCTTGTCGGCGCAGGTGACGTCATCGCGCAGGCGGTGCAGCTGCGAGGTGGGCCCGTGACGCCAGCTCGGTCCTCTTCCTAATACCCTTCGTCCTCGTATCCTCCTTTACCTCCTCCTCAGCATCCTCCGTCTCACCCTCCTCCTCCCCTCCTCCTCCTCATCGTCCTCCTCTTCCTCATCCTCCTCCTCATCCTCCTCCTCATCCCCCTCGTCCTCCGTCTCCGCCTCCGCCTTGGGGGGACATGGGCCGCTGGCGGCCAGACCGCCAGCGCATCGACAACTCAGCTCGGATCGTGGGCCCTGATGAGGCCTATCGGTGTACACGACTGCCCTGAGAGCGCCAACGACCCCTTTAGGGGTTTGGACGGCATGCATCAGCATCACGATTCCTCTTGTGATCTTCCCCCCTCCTCCGACGGAGCGACCACTGGCTCGCGCGGCATGGCAGTCGGTTTTTTGCCTCTGGCGCAGCTACTTTGGGCCTCGGTGGGTCAGTTTTCGAGTCCGGCAGCTGATTTCGGGACGTGGGCAGGCCCAACGCCAGCGTTGAGCCGCGTCGAGCCCCCCTGCGTTGAGCCTCACGAAACCCTGTAAAAAACAGAGGTAAAGTCACAGCTCAACGACTCAACGTTGAGCCGCGTTGAGCGCTGAGCCGCGTTGAGCCCCGAGGCAACACTCCTGGGGCCAAGAATTCTTGCGATGCTCTGTTTTTTTCAATAGCAGTGTCTGAAATTCGTGTGGCGGGATAAGGAATCACTGGCTCAACCCCTCGTCGGCTCGCCTGGAACCTTTGTGCAGCGTTGTGGCGTGCCAGAGCTGAGTTTCGAAGCCTGAATAGCCAGGCGTCGCTTCTACTCTTTAAGTTCGCGCTCGAGCTGCGCGCGGCGCGCAGCACGTAGGGGGGGGGGGGGGGGGCTAGCGTTTACATCGGGCATGCCAACATGTGGCGAGAACGAGACCACCCACACACATGCGCATCCATACGTATGTAAACGCACGCGTTGCGACGACATTGTGCGATGACACGCGCGCGCGAACACTCCAGCACGCGTGCGGTTAAAACACCTACATGGCAATGCCATATCATACTTAGAGCATGTCGCGATTATCACAATTGACTGCCCTACTATGCCCCCCCTTTGAGTTTGAGGAAGTTCGCAGGGTGCGAGCGCAGGGCAAATTGACGCCCGCGTTTGCTGAGTGCTGCAACGTTTCGTGAGAGCCCGTGACACAGGCAAACTCATAGTTTTGTAATCTTCTCGTGTAAAATCGATATGTTTGCAGGCCATGCGGTCACCGCGATGGGGTGGCAGTGAGGGGCGGGAAGATAATAGCGCATCGTGCGGCCGTTGGGTAATTCCATTGCGAGGCATCTGGGTGGTTCGAAGATAATCGAGCTCCGATTTCTGTCGGGTGCGAAGCTTGACGATGGTGACCCAACCACGCATTGGAGCAACCGTTCATCACGATCGATTGCGTTGATGGCGTGGAGGCTCAAGCGAGCGAGGCTCGTGTTCGACATGAGAGCTGCTACCCAATCACGGAAGTGCAAGCGAAAGCGGTTCACATTTGTTGATGTTGAAGAATATATCCCTGCTTACGAGAAGGATGAGTTTACGGTTCAGGTCACGTCTATGCGGCGCGCGGGATCTAAGTTGTTGGAGCACCTGCAAAGTGTGTATGCATGTGGCAAACTGAGCGCATATGATTTCGCCCTGGCCTGTTATTGGGCCGACGCGGCTGGTTGCATGGGTGCAGACTTTAGCGCATTCGCACTTGAACCAGGACAACAGTCTGGCAAATATCAGGCAAAACTTGATCGCGCCTTCCCCGACACTAAGCTGCATACGACCATCAAGGTTCCGAGGGCGCACCCCCGAAAAACATTCGAGACCACACTGGGTCTGCAAGTTTCCCTGGTGTTCGAAAGCCTCGTGGATGAACTACGGCGCACGCCTGGTATGCTAGATCAAGTTGCTGCCACAGACTGGCCCCCTGTTTACACCGAGCATCTGATTACGCGACAATGTAGAGACGCTGGTCGTCAGCTGCCTTTGCCTATTGCTATCTACACAGACGGCGTGAGATATCAATCTCCAACCTCTAGAACGTGTGATTCAATGTTGGGGGTGTGGCTAACTAACATGGTGACTAAAAAAACGCCATCTGGTTGCGTCGTGGAGGTCAGGGCTCAGTTGCCGATGCGGGTGTAAGGGGTGGCATTCTACATGGGTGATTCTCAAATATATCAGGTGGTGCTTGGGCGCTATGGCGGATGGGCGT